CTTTCTTTCTCTGGTGGTACCAGGGATCAAACTCAGGACCTCGTGCTTGCCAGGCAAGCATTTATTCCACTAGGCTATTTCCCCAGCCCTTTTTTTATGGATTCTGATTTCATGCAAAATCAGAAAATCCTTTCCTACTCATGATTACTTTAAAAAGAAAAGTACTCAGGGCTGGGAAGATGACTCAGTGGAATAAACACTTCCTTGGCAAGCACAAGGGCCTGAGTTCAATCCCCGGTTCTGCCAAAATAAATAAATAAATAAATAAAAAGAAAAGTACTCATATTTTCTTCTAGCACTTTTATAATCTCATATTTTAAAGTGAAATTTTTTTGACATCAGTTATTTTTATTTTAAAGAAAGAAAAAAAATAAAAACAGTGGTACAAAATCTCAAAACAAGATTTTAGGAATAAAGTTAAATTTTTGATTTGATTTGTCTGGAACAGCTTCCTGCAAGTAGTTGCCCAGCTGTGTCTTGTAATGCAAGGTATCAGACTACATTATTACTAAGCTTCCAAGCCTCTAGTCTCATGACAATGCCCACCAATGTACCAGTTGCCAGTATAAGGGCTTTCTTCCATACTGGGGGCTTCCGCCTATTGGTTTTGAGTCTACATTTTGATACCACATAATACAAGTAGACCTTCTATGTCAGCAGGTTCGTGATCAGAAGCCATAAATCATGACCCCTTGAAATATTATTTATGTCTATATTATTATTTCATCCATTTGTTCACATGGATTAATGGACATTTGTGAAGCAGCACAGGAAGTATGACCTTCATTTTCTATATGATTTGGATCCCTTAATGAGCAGAAACAAATGGCAGAAGCTGAGTGTCACCTGGCAGGATATTGACAAAGACATTAAGTCATGAGGTGAAGGTTGGACTGCAGTTTACCTGGATATCCTTTGGTCTGACAGTCTTCATCTCTTGGCTTTCAGAGGTGACCCTTTAGTATGTCCAGCAGGTCTACTTGGGAGCTCAAGCCTGGATCAGACTTCTAAGAGGAGGAAAGCACCACAGATGACCAGCAGAGGGCAAATTCCATTCTCCTTGCCTTTCTCTGGTCTGGCAGCTAATGTAGGCCTTTGGGAGCCCCATAGATGACACTTCAGATGTGCAGAAAGAAGGTCAAACATGACCACCCAAATTTCCTGCCCTCCTTTTGTGGTAATACAAGTTGTATAGTCAGGGGAACAGTGAGGTGGCAAAGTAATGGGCAGCTCTAAGTACCATGGTACAGTTCATCGTGCCCTGAACTTTGCCCTCAGAATGCCACTGGTTTAATATACTTATTCCTGGTCAGATGCATACTCATCTGCCATTCTCTGAACCTCCTGTTTTGTCTATCTACATTCTCTTCTTGGTGACCTCCTACACATCCTTCAAGGCCCAGATCAAATGTCACCACCTGGACCCTTCCAGCATTCCCACTTCTGTGTTGTACAGCATTAGCATTGGCCACTTTGGTAAATAATTATTTGTGTGCCTTTCTGTCCTACAGAACAAAGGCTCTACCTATGACCAACTCAGTTCTGAGTCTGTATCTGCAGAGGTCCTGAATTTCACCTGCAGTACACATCTTCACCTTCTTCTACCTTAAGGAATTTTCTTCTCTTTTCTTTTCTTCTCTTCTCTTTTCTTATAGTGCTAGGGATGAGACCCAGAACCTCACACGTATTAGGTAAGAGCTGAAGCTGGGCATGGTGGTGCACATCTGTAATCCCAGCACTTGGGAGGCTGAGGGAGGAGGATTGCTGTGAGTTTGAGACCAGCCTGGGCTACAAAATAAGCTCAAGAACAGCCTGAACTACACAGTGAGACCGTGTTTCCTACCCCCCCAAAAAAAGATATCTGTACCACTGAGCCACATCTCTCCTTTTTTATTTTTGAGACAGAATCTAAGTTTCCCAGGATAGTCTCAAATTTGTGATTTTTCTGCCTCTGCCTCCCAAGGAGCAAGGTAGGATCACAAGCTCATCCATATCCAACTCATCCATAAGGGACTTTTTTTTTTTTTTTTTTTTTTTTTTTGAGACAGGGTCTTTCTATGGAGTCCAGGCTTAGAACTCACTAAGTAGTCCAGTCTGGCCTCAGACTCAAAGCAATCTTCCTGCCTCAGCTTCCCAAGTGCTGGAATTATAGGCATGTCAGCATGCCTGGTTCCAAGGGATTTTTTTTTTAGGGCAAATGCTATGTCTGATTATCCATTTTGCACTGCAGTCCAATTCCCAGCAAAGTAGACCCTCAAGTTTCATAGACTGAAGTTGCCTCCTTTTGTGCATGTAACTCACTTCTCTCTGTGGATGAGTATATCAGCAGTTTCCTGTTGTGTTCACAACTGTGCTGGGTATCACGGCTAAGAAGGATAGTCCAGAAAGTGTCCTGTTCTCCAGGAGCTTACCATCTAGGTGTAGCAGACAAAAAGGAGCAAGGAAGCAGAAGGAGATGGCTGAGCAGGAATTTTCTACACACACACAGAGAGAGAGAGAGAGAGAGAGAGAGAGAGAGAGAGAGAGAGAGAGAACACTGGTTTAGACAATCATCAATGGACTAGAATAACTTTATGGGACTCCAGGAGTCCAGGAAAGTTCTAACATACAATTAGAGAAAAAAGCCTGAAAACAGACACACTGAAGAAAATGAAAATAACAGTTTCATTTTCTCTGCATCACCCTTCCTTCCCCATGCTGGCACAGCTCAGTGTCCTGAGAACCCCCTCCGCCCGTGATTCCTTCTGCAGCAGAAAATAAGAGTAAAGAGAATGAGTGTCCAGCTTCCCAAGCTTTGTAGGACAGCTTTTTTTTTTTTTTTTTTTTTAACTTTCTGCAAAGCTTTAGTCCAGAAGGGCTCAGTCCTTCTTGGCAGCTGCCTTCCTCATGGCGGCTAGCACATTGCTTGGCTCCTCATGCTTTTTCTTGGCATGGATGTGCATCCTCACCCTTTTCTTGATGAACTTGAGGGTGCGTTTGTCCTTGAAGACCGTGAGCAGCTCCACGGCACGGCACTCATAAGGGTCAAAGCTGCACACCTCCCGGATCATGTCCTACACAAACTTGGTGTGTTTGATGAGTGCAAGACAGCTTTGGAGGGGTCAAAAAGAAAGAGCACAGCCATTGCAAATGGAAAGATTTGGGTTCAAAGTCTTCACTGTGGCTGTGGAAAATTGATTCAGTGATGCGCTCTCTCTGAGCTTTGGTGCTCTCATCTATAAAATGAAGATGGTAATCTTCCAGGTAAGTGAAGATCAGGTGAGATAAAGAATGTAAATCACTAGCCAAAGCCCTTATCCCTAGCAGGAGCTTGATAGTGGGGTTGATCAATCCAGTGGTATGTGGAGCTGGCCCAGAACATGATGCCATGTTGGTATCTTGGAACTATCCACAGCAGGAATATTTACACCATGGAAATTCACAAATACATACTATACATCAGGAATCTTCTGAGCAAGTTGTTAAACATTTACCAGGTATTCCAGGTTATCACCATGTGGCTGCGAGTTATGATAACTCATTCGCTCCTGACAGCCCCCGTGCACATCAGTATTCCACTGATGCAATTGCTCATTTCAGTCAGAAGCAGCCAGTTAAGAGCTAGGGAGATAGCTCAATAGAATAAGCACTTGCCTGGAAAGTGCAAGGTCCTGAGTTCAATCTCCGGTACCACAAAAAAGAAGAAGAAGGAGAAGGAGGAGGGGAAGGAGGAGGGGAGGAAGAAAAGGAAGAGGAGGAGGAAGAAGAAGAGGAGGAGGAGGAGGAGGAGGAGAAGAAGAAGAAGAACAACAACAAGAAGAGGCCACCAGTTGTGAGCCTCACTGGGAATTCTGTCTAACCATGTTAGAAGTGACCAACTCAGTCATAACAGTCCCTTTGAAACAGGAGCCTTCTTCCCTCTCCTAGCAGAAGCTTAGGCAGCAACTCCAGGATTCCCAGGGCTTCAAGAGCCGTTCTCACAAGGTGGCATGTTTGTCACACATGAGCAGGTCTCTTTCTCAGGTGTCTCTGCCTGGACTCAGGATCCGGTCTTTCTTCTTGAGCTTCAGGCTGCCATGTCTACTAATACTCAGAGCAGACCTCTCTGTGGGAACAGCTCACTCACCCACCTCAGTCTCCACTCTGGAGCCTGCCTCTTCTAGAGCCCGCCACCCATCATGATGGTCCTCTTGTGGGCTTTGTGGGAGCAACAAAGTATAGGAAGATCTTGGCTTCTGGAAACCCTGAGACAGTCAGCTTTCCAGTAAAGAGGAGTTGTTGCCTGAGGATGGCACTTGGGTACCTCCCACCCACCCACACACGCACAGGCTGACCAGAAAGGGGAAGTGTGTCAGACTAGTGCTCACTGCCCGTAGGGTTGGGTGAAGTCCTAGGGGTGAATACTGTTTCTCCAGCTGCACCCCAGCACAGATTCTGACCACTTCTGTCTCCTCAGCCGCTCACATCTGGACACTGTGGCAGTTCTGGTAAGCTCCTTGGCTTGTCCAGAGATAATTTTTTATTTCTCCATCATGAACATCTGCCATTGTGGGCAGATGTGGGGCGTGTGTCCATGTGAGCAACTGCAAGTACTGGGCCAGAGCTTTGTGCCCTGGGACCCTAGTGCAACCAATGGGTGGGGTTGGAGAAACACTGGCCTTAAAGATTTTTCTCTGCTAGTTAATGGCTAGGTAACTTGAGGCAACATTTTACCTTTCTGGGCTTCTGTTTCCTAGTATATATGTAGTGATGGTGACTCTCTCTCCCAGGTTGAAACAAAGTAATGATTGAGAGTGAGATAAGTAAATCCTATGGAGGTTATTATCATTCCCTGGATACCAATGGTGGATTTGGTACTTGATACATGAATGGAGTTTTGCGGTACTGGACTAGAGGTAGGGGTGAGGGTCAAGGCATCAACTAAGGGAACTTTCAGCCATATCTTGGTATTCTTGGGGGGAAAGAACGAGAGCACCACCAGTTACTAAGACACTTAAGATGTTTAGTAACTACTAAGAAACCAGTCTTAGTATCTTTGTCATTTCATTTCTGGTGTCCGTGGTTTCACAAGGGATCCTGCCTTTCAGAGGCCTCAGGATCAAAGTGTGTTAGACTGGGGTGAGGTCTTGCTTGAACTGTCTGCTCTTGTCCCCTGGAAAATAATTCACAAAGGGACCTGGATTCAGCTTTTCTATTTCTACTTCAACTTGATCCTAAAGGGACTCCCTTCCTTGGCCCACTTGCACACCCGGACTTCTGAAGGGGCATCAAAATGGGCACTGCTGCTGAGCATAGTGGTGGGCATCTGTAGTCCCAGTACCAGGAGGCAAGGGTGGGAAGATTGCCTGAGTCCAGGAAATGAAGGTCAGCCTGAGTTGCATAGTAAGACCTTGTCTAAAAACATAAAGTGAGCACTGCTGTGCCTGTAGAATGCAAACTGAGAGGGTTTTCTTCCCCCCAGAAATAGGGAAAACAATGACTGCAAATTCTACTACCTCATCAGAACCGCTGTGAAGTATTTAACATACTGCCTTGTAGTCCTTTTTCTCCTAGATGTAGATCATTTTGAGATTTATGCATTTTGCTTTGATGTAAACCCATTCAGCAAATGGAAATACAAATGACACTCCTGTAACCTCAGTGCAGATACTCCCTGGTTCACCGCTCCAGCATTATCTCCAGAGAGCTGTTGCATGACAGTTCTACATTTTCCTCCAGAACCACTGAGTGGCAGAGTTTTAAGTTTTTCTCCCCTCCCCCCTTTTCTTTCTTTCTTTTTTTTTTAGAAATAACTAAACAAGAAAAGTAACCAATTAAACAGAAGACCCAACGCTATTATGGGCTCCTGGACTCTTTTAGAATATTTTGCTGAGTTTACACACCTATAATATTCAATAACGGAACTTAGAAAAAATGGGGCATACAGATGAATGTCCATTTTGTATCTGTGTATTCAAAGAGGTTGGGATAGATATATAGTTGCATTCTCTTAATGAATAGAATGATTTGTTCTAATGATGTTTGTAAATAGGATCACAAGTCCGCATCTTGTACAGCAATTAACCACTAAGAAGAATATATGCAGTGTATTATTTGTTGAAACTGTACTTCCGATTTGATTTGAAACTGTCTCATTGCTATCTGTTTATCAATAAAACTTTGAAAAAAAAAAAAGAAAAGAAAAGTAACCAAGACAGTTATTCTTTTAAAAAAATAATCAAGAGTCCCAGTAGGAGAACACCATGACTCACTCAAGACTAATCCCTAATGACCGGTAGCTTTTCCATGAATTGCAGGGATGGAGCCAGAAGGTACACAGCGGCTAGACTTTCTGGCAGAATGTTATCTGAAGTCCTCAGCAGACTTTAGGGGCCTGCTAATTTTAGCTTGAGAACATAAAATTTTAGTAGTTATTAATAATTTAAGAAATGTAAATGGTGCCTTATGTATTTCATAAAAATGGAAGTATACAGAAGTACATGCCATTTCACAAGGGAATTGAAGAAGCGTGTAGCTTTTCTGGATGTGTTCAAGGCCCATCCAGAAGACCCTGTGGTCCTGACAGAATCAAGCAGTAAGTTGGAGGGAGAAAAGAGGTATTTTTCAACACCCCCCTTTTTTTGTGTCCATGCCCTGCCCTTCCTCTAAGCTATTAGAGGTAAAGAATTTATAGATGGTGATGTTTCTTCTCAATTTTACTTCAAGGGTGAATTTGTAGATTATGTATATATGGAAAATTTTTTGCCATTTTTATTGATTTTTACATAATACCTAAATAAAAACAGAATGCTTGTTATGCAAATGAAGTTTCAGGACAGCCAGATTGCTGCCCCCAGCACATCCTGTACACACCCCTTAGAGCTGCTATGGCCTTGGGCATCGTTGGTGGGTCAGTTCCCTTCCATGAGCGTCCTTGTTCTAGCTGAAGACTGAGTCCCAGGCAAGGAAATGAGAGAGTGAACAGGGAGTCCTTGGAACTACAGGATGCAGAGAGGGCCGGGAGGGCGCTCAGGGGTGGCAGAGCACTGAGGGCTGCAGTTGTTGAGGTGGGCAGGGTGTCAGTGAACAGCCTTGGCCATGCTAAGCAGTGAGGAGCTCGGACTTCACTCCATTTCAGTCATAGAGAACTACTAAAAAGCTTACAACGTGAAGGAAACAGGTCTCTTTTCCAGTGCAAGGACAGATAGGTGATAAGGAGAACATACTGGTCCAGGAACAGAGGATGAAAACTTGTATTAAATTAGGGAAAGTGTGGGTGGAGAGGAAAGAATGAATTTGAAAGCCGGGGTGAAGCCAGACTATAGAGGCCAGTTGGTTGTGGGGGTGAACATGCAGTCATGGGAAGAAAAAGAATGACGCTGAGGTATCCAGCCTTTCACGGAAATAAAAGGATAGAGAAGAACAGATTCTGGACTCCTTTTAGTTACTTCTATTCCATCCATGCACACTCAGAATTAAGCACCATCAACTATACACACAGCCATTCCTGGCACTGATATCGCCAAGAAGGTCAAAAGGGAGCAAGGCCTCCTGCTCACCATCAGTGACAGCCTGAGAGCTGGAAGGAATTGGCAAGAAGCTGCTACTTAATGGAGCCAGAGTCAGAGCCAGCTAGCGACATCGCCATGGGACAGAGGTGCTAGGCAGGCAGCAGGAGGGGAAGAAGGGAAAGGGGAGGGAAGGAATGGCGGAAGGGAAGAGCAGGGGCTGATGAAGGGGAGGGGGCAGAGCTGTCCTGGGAGCATCTGACACTGCTGCCGCAGCAGGCCCTGTTAACTCAACCCACAGTAAAGGCTGTGGCCTTACCCAGGAGCCTGGGGCAATTCTTCTCACTATGTAGTTCAGGCTGGCCTTGAACTCACAATGTAATTTATTTGCATGCATCGTCACACCGGCTTCTATCTCCGCTTTCTTATTTTGATGTCTTTATCCAACAAGGCGGTGATGACATCTGATAGCTATGTAAAGCTAAGGAAGGGGAGATGGGCAAGGCTCCCAAACCCCTTCAGGTGATAAGGCTACTGAAGGCTTTAGAGATTAGGTTACAAACCCCCCGGCCTTTTGCATCAGCTGCTGACTTCCCTTCCTGTTCATGTATATCTGTCCATAAATTACTGGAAGGCTCACCTGCTTGACCACAACTGCCCTGTAGTACTTAGGAAAACAACAGCAGTGCCAGGAAGCTTATTTTAAAGTTCCCAGTTCAATCCCCAGTTCCACCAAATAAATAAATAAATAAATAAATAAATAAATAAATAAATAATAAAATGAAATCCCTAAAGGCATTGCTACCGCCTGTGTCAGGCGTGGTGGGGAGCTTCACGCTGCAAAGTCCAGGTTCTGGCAAGGCCACCTCGCTACTGAGACAGCAGCCCAGTGGCCTTTGGCGCTCCAGTGTCCCCTAAAGAGGGCAGTGAGGCCCCAGCTGCTGCTGCTGCTGCTGCTCTCTGTGGCTGAGGGTGTGGAGCACACGGCCCCCAGCCTGCCAAAAAGTGACTTGAGTGAAACGAAAAAGCTGCTCAAACTACACCAGACTTTGGCTAAAATGATTGGTCACTTCTTTGAGATGAGCAATAATGATCCACACAAAGAAGGAAATTCAAAAATACAGTGCAATATACGGCAGATTTGACTCAAAGAGGAAGAACGGAAAACATCCCACACTTCATGATTTCACGGTTCGTGAAGCAGCTGCTCAAATTTGTGTGAAAGATAGGCCCTACTGACAAGAAGAGATGAACTTTGGACCCTGGCTAGGGAGATCTCCTGAGACGTCACCAGTCAATACACTTACAGGACCAAGTCAAAATATGATGAAAGAGATGAATTATCTCCACAGAGAATGAAAGTAGAGGATGGGCTTCCAGGCTTCCAGGATTCTGTGCAAACACCCATCCACCAAGCTGGAGCTAAGAGTGAAGCACTCGCAATTCTCAGTTCACAGCATCTTAAAAGGTGACAGCAAAGCAGATGGAGTTTGTGTGTGCCCAAGCTGGCCCTGACAGACCACAGCATGGGAAGGCTGTCCACAGCAGCGCAGGCCAACACAGAGACAGACCTCTGAATCGCCCAATGTGTAATTTACGAGACAACCTCAGCATTTTGTGGCAGGCAGGGAGCTGAATAGACCTTCCTCTGGTGAGGCAAAGTCCCACTCATCAGATTTGGGATTTTAAAAGACTACCGTTTCTTAGTTTCTACCCTTGGGAAAGAAAAGTCTTCAAATGAGAACCTGAAGATTCAAACTAGCTCTGATTTTCTCATTGTTCTCTGGAAATGGCATCAAATTGAAGGGCGATGCTCCACTACAGAAGTAAGTCTTAATAACCAATGTTGCCTCATTCAGCACAGATTTCATAGCCAAAGCATAAGGATTTATGCAGGAGTCTCTGGAAACCAGGAAGAACAAACGAGGCACAAAAGAGAAAATCAGTGATGTTGCAATCTGTAACAAGCCTGATCCAGTCACGTTCCTGTACGTAAATCA